AAAATCAGCCAATTTTGGTTAAACTTAATTTCTTGATAAATCTATGGTTTGCATCCATGTAGGTGGCCAGGGAATTATCACGTAAATGGCACTGATGCATCAATAACTAGAGAATTGCAAATTAACTAATTACTGTAGAAAGAAACCACACCTCTAACAATGTCAGACTCTTCTCAGTCTTCATTTTTCTTTCAGTGTCTGCCCTTGACCTCCATGGTCAAGCCCCTGGTACACAGCGCTACATTTTTCAGCTCCACAACTTAGTCAGTTCCACTAACAATCAAATTTCTTATAAGGAGAGTTGGATGCAAAGTGAAAATAAACAAAAAAATAAAATAAAATCAGCATCTTGTGTCAAATTAATGCTGTCTGGTGGCACTGCAAACATAACTTTTCTTGTTTTAACAAGAGTCCCCTTGGCTGCCAAAGTCCATACAGCTATCTGTAATACAAAGTTAAAGAACAAAGCTAGTGAAGATAACAGAAACAACAGATATTGCCGTAATGTAGAAGATATATTTCAATTTGCTGTTGGTCTTTGTCTCGCGGCAGGAGACATCCCTGTCCTACCAGGCAGCAATTGATTGGAAATAAAAATTATTGTGTGGTCCTATATTTCTGATGTTTTTTTTCATTGTGTCTTTGTTTCTGGGCTTAGGCTCTCCTGAAGCCGATGATACATCTCTCTAGAAGGAGGTGACATGCATTTTTAGGGGAGACAAATGCAATCCAAGTCTTCCTTAAAAATAGCTGCTACTGTATGAATGTGACTGTTCCCCTTGGGGGTATGTTTTAATGAAAGGCACCAAATTAATCCCACTTTCTTCCGCTCTCCATTCTTCCCATTACGGTGTTTGCACGGAGGGAAAAAAAAAGAGTAAATAATTTTCTGCTTTCACATCCCCGCTATATGTTGATGTTACGGCCCCTGACGGAGAGAAGGGAAGAAGACTCAAGGCAATGGCAGGATGCTGACATGGCCCTCCTTTGTCCTATTCTCATTCATTTCCTCCTCAGATCTTCTGACTGACCCAGAGGAAGACAAGGTGAGGATGTGCGGAGACAGACAGAGGGAGAGAGAGAGAGTGAAGACAAAAGGAGGATGGGCAGATGGAGATAGAAACAAAACTGGATGAGACGATGTGCCATCAACAGTTTGCTGCTCGGATACTTTTGAGCTTCCTGTGTTTTGCAAGAACCAGCAGCACACATCCAGTTAAGTTGATCAGAGTTGATAATGACGCCTCAAGATGCACTGCCAAGTTCCTTATCTGTGTTTACCCAAATGGCAAAACTGATTACAGACAAGCAATCTTATGAGGCTCCATTGTTACCCCTGTTACTCCAGAGTGTGTGCCTGTGCTCATGCTTTGGAAGATAAAACATTTACCACCCATTACTCTTATTCTGATAGCGCTGTTTTAACGCTACATTTGGCAAGCTACTGTATAAGCTGCTTTTCCAGTTGTTTTTAAATAACTAATTGAAGCTAATTTATTCTTTACATCTTTTGCACTTTTGATACCACGGAACCACGGTATTTCTGTGCAGAGTGATCATACTTTAAGAATCTCATACTGGCCTGCTTCTAATTTAGATTCCATTTTCAGTCCAAACTCCTACAAGATAATCATCGCTTCAGCTCACAGAAGATACCCAGCAGTGAGGAAAATATCCATATCTTTGCCATGACTTTGTCTTCTAAATAATGCAATCCATTTGAGTTCAGGACTTGCTGGGGTTCTTCACCTTCCAAGCATTGTTTTTTTTATCATGGTGACTTAAAAAAGACTTTTAAAAAGTAAGGACAAAGCAAACGGAACATATTTGTAAATGTTTTTGACAAGAGTAATGAGACAGAGCAAATTTTTAAAAAAAACCTCAGTGGAATTATTGCTGTTCATGAGATGCTTATTTGCTTAATCACCAGGATGTGGGTGACACGTCCAAGTCTAAGCCTCCCTGCCTACCATCTTCCTCTATCCCCAACTTCCTCTTTAACTGTCCCCGTCCAGACTTTATCCACAAGAATTCAAAGAGCCCAGAGTGTCAGTTTATAAAATATGTACGGCTACTTAAAGCAAACCTCATGGGCTCTGTTGTCTCTCCACCAACATACAAAGTTGGACTCAAGTAGAAAGGGCCTATCTTTAGTAATAAGGAAAAGAGGGATGGCAGGGAGGAGAGATGGGTATTCCTCATCTCCTCTGCTACATTACAGTTTCAAATTGGAACTTCACTGCTCAAAGTATATGACTGTGAATGGGCTTTTCAAAACCTTTGGTGAAAGTCTACTTTCTGCCTCCGGCCCATTAGGCAGAGTTACTCTCATATCCTCCTGATTCAGAGTCACACATTCAGGCAACCTGGTGAAAAGAGCTGTGAGAAGAAGAGGAGGAAGCAAGGTGGAAAATTTCTCCTCCGTTACACTATAGTGAGACATGAGTGGTGACACGACTTAAGAGGAAGGGAGAGGAACTTGTAATCTCAGCCTGCAGCCTTTGAACTTGGCCCGATGAGACGCGGGCGACCCAAAGCAAAAGGTTCCAAAGAAGAGCTCACTGAAGATTACTCGGAATACTGATGCAGTGTGGAATCCAATTCCTCTGGGAGGCCTCTGAAAGTAAATTATCTGTGTTGAGCAAGACTACATACAGAGAAATATATGCAATATTCCATGCATGTGCATCAAAAGTAATAGAAAAAAAAGAAGCTAGAAGTTGAAGTTCTGAGTACAAACAATTTTAAGCATCTGTGCCTTAAAAAGTGACCCACTAAATGAGGTCTAGGGTCTCTTAGGTTCTAATTAGGGCAGCTGTTGCCATTTTCATTATTTGTGTGTATTTGTTTGAAGAGAGCATAAGAGAGAGATGTGACTGTTTCCAATGTGCAATGGGGTTGAGGTCATGGGATACATGCCACTGTCTAGCTTTGGCTTCTTCTCATCCAGCTGCTGCTGGTCTGTCAGGGAGCGGAGGTTTACTGGTGTCATGTCTCCTCCCTTGGGCTTTTGAATAATGACAAAATAATGCGGAACTAGGGGCTGGAGGTGAAGACGTATGCATGCAGCAAATGGCCATTTGGGCAAGCTTTGCCATTTGCTAAGAGCTGCAAGGGAAAAACTGATTCATGCAAGAAACTACAAATGCTGCCAGAGGTCTTAGATTTTATAATACCATCTTCTGTCTTTCCAAGACATTCTGTCAGAATGGTGTTGTTGGTTATTAACAATGACCTGGAATTATGTATTCCAAATTTTGTACATGCTTGTATGGGCTGAAATGTTATAGACTGAGCAATTTGGTATTTTTTATGTTTTGTGTGATGTAAATCTAAGAAAAAATACAATAATTGTGTCAGATATAAAGTAGGGAGTTAAGATCTATTTTTCATATAACAACATGATTTAATTAGGGTAATTACTGTGGCTATCCACTTATTTACCAACCTGCAGTCCCTTGCTTTAACCTGCTTTAAACCCATGGATCTTGTTGCTTGCCTAATACATTTTTGCTATTACCCAGGAAGAAGTATGGTGATCTTAGATTAGTCAGTTGAGTGTCATTGTGCACCAACAGGTAGGATATGGTATTTAGCAATAAATAGAAGTAAATACTCTTTTTCTGTGATCGTACAGTTACATTTTCCCATTAAAAGGTGACTTCAACAGAACAGCAAAGAGCATACATGGTTAAAGTATGGACATTTTATGACCATTTCCCCCCTCTATCTGTTCGTTAAATCCATGATTAAATACAAATTTGAAGATTTGAAAAAATGTCAAAGATTTTATTCTTTGATATTCAACTACAAACCACGTTTTGAGAGCTATAGTTTGCATGAGAACCCTCCCCAGGCCCCTCTGCAGCTGGCCTGGGGGCCCTAAACATGAGCTAAGTTTGTTTATCCCTTGGGCCGGCTCTGAGCAGTTGCTCAGAAATGCACCTTGTTGATCCTGATGTTTATATTTCTGTAAACTATTTTGAATCTACCAACTTCAGAAATGTAATTTAAGTACCAAATGAAACATTATTACAGTGTCAAAAGCAGAAATGTGTGAAACATTTTCTTTGAAAACAAAACAATAATAATAAAAAAAACACATGGTGATGTATTATCAAAGCGCATGGGCGCGTTTTGCCACAATGACTCACAAAAGCAGCGTTAAGTCAGCCCTACAAAGAACCGTAGGAGAGGGTGACGATTTGTACGGAGAAGAGACAGGTGCTTTGTGTCTGCCCTCCGAGAAAAAAACAAGCGCTCTCTCCCAATTTGTCTATCCCATTAACTCACCCGATCCACGCTGACCCTCTCTCCCCTCCTACCATCCCTCACTATGTGTCCCGCTGCATCCACACCTATGCGCTTCTATTCTGCACTAACGATCTGCTCCCAAACAACGAAGCAGTTCATCTTTTCATAGATGAAAATCACCGCGTGGACCACTGACTAACTTTCTAGTGTTGTAGGGATACGGAGCCGTACGCAGAGCAGCATTAACGCTTGCAAGACTGTCTTTGTCCCATTCATCCTCGCTGTCTGATCCACTCTTTAGTGTTCCGAACTGAGTCCCCCCATATGCTCTGCAGTCCGTATTCACAGTTTCCTGTTTGCTTTAAGCACAACGCCTCAGTTATACTTCATCTAGGTGCGCCCCGAAGACATAACCCTGCGCAAAGTCCCCGTTCAAAACAGACAACCTGAATTTGCACAACAACAGAGACGAACCAAACCAAATTACGCATTGGCTTTTTTTTATTACCCGGACTGACGTGAAGTGAAATCCCTAGATGCGGTTGGTTATTTTCCTTTTCTTAAATAAGTGATTAAACATTTACTGGGAAGTAACAGCAGTGAAATGTAGCATTGCAGCAGAGCAGCGCTCTAAGGCGACTTGACGCAGCGCCATATGGAGCAGCAGTCCATCCTCTTGTATGGATAGAGCTCTGCATGCAAAATTATAAAATCAAAGAAAAAATAAATGAATAAAAACATCCTACCTGTCACCATAAGGCAAAAGATGAGGTATAGAGAAGTGAGTGCAGGCATCCTGTCCATTGACTGTGAAAAAGATGCCGAACGAGCTGGCTGGGTCCACCACGGCACCGGGGTCGGATGATAAAGCGCACCGGATTCTGTCTATAACCTCATTCGGTGTGGGGAAATGACTGTGAAGGGGTTCGGTTAGTACTCAATCGTATCACTTAGCTGTACATCTCCATAGTTGTTAACTTTCCCACAGCATCAGCTCCTTCTCCAAAGCCAGGTCCTTCCTCGCTGGCGCGCCTCTTGCCTCCTTCTCCGCTCTCCGGCAGCGTCAGTGATTTGGACGTTTCAGTCAAGTTTCATCCACGATCCGCTTTTAAGTCTTTTCTTGCATGCTTCTTCCTTTCGGAGCCGCTCAGAAGCAATCTATCCTCTGCCTCAACGCGCAGTGACAACAATCCCGGTGAAGTTGCCTCTCTGCGGTCCGTTGGAGTCCGCTTACACTTTGCTCTGACTCTGTTCTCACTGTGCCTCAGCCTCTTTCTCTAACACATGCCTTTTTTCATCTCCCAGGCGGGTCTCCTCACTTTAAATCTCACTAACTCTTCCCATTTGGACATACACTCTGACAGTCATCTGGTGGTGGGTTTCGACAAATCTGGCAGGAGCTGACTCGCAGGAGCCCCTATGCCTCACACTCTTCCCCCTCTTCCCCTGCGGCTCACGCCCCCAGGGGACTACCATTGGCTAAGGAGGCGCCAGGAGGAGCGTTTCAAGAACATCTCAAAAAAGACTGCACAATCACGCTGGGTTGCTAAAAAGACTATTGTAAAATTTGAAGTATGCTTGTGAAAAAAAAGAAAACGTCTTTGATTTCTGCCTATTGAACTTTCATGCCTTGTAGGTATTTAAAAGACTATGATCTAGGTTAGATAAAAGGCAGGAATTTGAAAATGTCACCCTATTTGTCAGTTTCCTTCAGTTGAAATTATTTTCATTAATTTACAGCAAAAAAAGCAGCAACAAAGTCTATTTCTCAATGAATATTTAAAAACTTCTCCAATGGTTAATTTCCTACAATGGACTCAGCTTTTAAGCTCATTCCACACATTTCCCTAGAAGCCAGAGTAATTCTGGAGGCTTGAAGTCATCTTTTAAAACCATTCCTAATATGTTTATGAACACTGATTGCTGTCCAGGTTTCAAACAGGTGTTGATTCAAAGAAGGGCTGAGAGGTAACCCTCTAGTTGCTTTTTCTGCTCATCTTGTGCACCAGCACCCAAAGCACTCAAACATACCCATAGCAATGATACTTTTAACTTAATGCTTAAAAAGTCAGCACTTTGATCTCAGGTTAGAAAAAAAACACTTTCAGTCCTCTAAACATTGTTTTTGTCATTGTGGATGAATTGTCCAAAATAGAAGGCATTTAGTTTATTCACATGGGCAGCTGTTGATTATGTAAGAGCTTGAAAATATAAATTCTGGAGCAGATGCCCCTTAAATTCCCAGAAAAAAAAAACTGACTATATTGTAGAATGTGGCCCATATTTTCCAGGATCTTTAACATAACAGTAGTGTTGGTCTTTAGTAGCTTCATTGTTGCTTCTAAACAGTTTCACAAATTTCCCTTCAACTGGGTCAGTTTTGGTCAGATTAATACATTTTGGGCATAATATGGGTTCTGATAAGACAAAGATCCAGTTGGCTCATTATAGTTTAAAAGTAAAGAAGATGGTGTGAGTTGCTGCTCCATCAGCATCTCCAAAACCTTTTTTCTATGGGAACCTTTAATGCATTTACCTCTTTAATGATTAGATAGAAGACGGGTACTAAACATAGTTAGGATGAGTGAGGGTAGAAAAAGTAAAACAAAATGCAAAACAAATTATTTAGCACTACTTTATGAGCTGCTCATAAAGCAGTGGGATTGGATCTAACATACAAGTTGAAGGCTTAGATGAATATAATAGTTTTGCTAACTTTGGAATTTCAACTGGATCAAAGCAGTCTAAATCTGGGTCAGATTTTATAGTTCCCTCAGATGCTGCCTCACCTTTCAGAGATAATCCGAACAAACCAATCTTATTTTTAATAGTATCAATCTTATTTGAAAAGAATCCTATAAAATCGTCACTGCTAAGAGCAGTGGGGATGGATGGTTCAACAGAGCTATGGCTCTGGGTGAGTTTGGCAACTGTATTAAAAAGATATCTATGATTATTCTTATTCTTCTTTATTACTGGGGGGAAATATGTTGCTCTTGCTTCACAAAGGGTCATCTTATACAGCAGCAAACTTTTGTTTCAGATTAGGTAGGATTCCCGTAGGATTAATTTAATTTAATTTAACTGAACTTTATTGATCTCACAATGGAGAAATTAACCTCTGCATTTCTCCCATCCCCTTGGGGATGGGGTGGAGTAGCTGCTCAGAGAGTCAGAGTGGCAGTCTGTCGGAGTGGGGCTCGAACTCAGAACCTCAGGATTCCAAGCTCTATTCCCTTACCACTAGGCCACCACTCCCCCTTTTGCTAATAAAGGGGGAAACCAGGGAACCAGCTTTCTATTTTTAAAGCTTTTCTTTTTCAAAGGGTCTACGATGTTTAAGGCAATATACAGAGAATTAGCAACCACATTAGACTTAGATTTAGACTTCCTTTATTGTCATTGCACAAAAAAACACAAGGTGAATCTTGACAACGAAATGTCGATTACTTGGCTACCAGTGTAACAGGGCTAAGACCTTATTCCTGCACAATAAATATGTTTTCTATGAATAAGAGCTAGCTATATACAGGGTAGGAGTATATATATATACATATATATTGCAAAGAGTTATTGAAGGAGTAACGTCAGTAAATAAATATTGCACTGAGTTATTGAATACTGCACTGAAGAGTTATTGAAAATTAAACATTAAATTGAAGACAAAACTAAACTAAGGTGCGTTTATTGTCTTGTTTTGCTCTTTTTTCAGTGAAGAAATACTCTAATTCCAATAAAATTTGCTCGATAGCCCCACTAACACTAGTTTCATCGGCTGAAGCCGCCATGTTCTTTAGACTGAACTGTCGCGCTTCTCGTTGCGTCACACCTCAACCCGCCTCAAAGCCAACGCTGATTGGACGTTTGTTTGGTGAACGGCTCCAAATTTTCTTCAACGGGGAGTCTCCAGACTGATTAGTGATTGAAATTTTGAAAGCTCGCGAGATCAGGATGGTCTCACGAGGCTAGGTCTGGATATCCTGAAGTCGATGATAATCTCTTTGGTCTTTTTGTCTTTCAGGATCAGGTTATGTTTAACAAAAATCATTATGCTGTGAAGGGGAATACACTAAATTTTTGCTCTGCAGCACAGCTCAGTGACACAGATGAGAGAGAAAGTGACAGATTCTTTAAAATTTATGACTACAATATCTTATAATGATCTGCTAAAGTGAAACCTTATTTTGGGGGAGAGGAACTAATCATGTAGGCTATCAAAAAGTGGTCGGAGAGGACAGGGTTGTGAGGAAATACTGTTATTTCTTCACATTCAATGCCATACAGCAACATAGGGTCCAAAGTATGAAGATGAGAATGTGTGGGACTATTCACAGTTTGAACAAAGCCAATAGCATTAAAAGCTGCATTTAAGCTATCATCAGCGTGTCAAAATCCCCCACTATCAAAATCCCCCACTATCATAACCCTGTCAGTATTCAACACGAAATCAGATAGGAACCCTGAAAACTCATCTAAAAATTCCGAGTAAGGACCTGTTTAATGATACAAAGTTACAAAAAGAAGAGGTTTTGTTTCTTTGCAATTTGGATGAGGGAAACTAAGGGTTAAATGTTCAAAAGAGTTGCATACCAAAATAACCATAAAATATATATATGTTCCTAAAGAGTTAATAAAAGTGGATTTTTACTTTTACTGAATGGCTAACTTTAGTTTGAGGTCACCTCATCATCTAAAAAAAATCAGCTTTCACTTCTCTAAGGTTCTAGGGTCAACTTTTATGAACTATCTTTTTCTTTGTTTTGTTTTGCAATTAGATCCAACTCAGATTATTGACATGAACATTGACCGCTCTTTCAAAAATCTTAAGAGGGTGCTTGCTCGTGGCTACTTTGTAAAGAAGTGATGTCCTTACTTTTTCCAGATGCTGGCCCTAACATTGCTCACCAGGGCATTCAGACTTTTTTTTAGAAACCTGTAACCAATGCAATATGAATGTTGGGCATCAACAACGTCTCTGTTTTTAACCCAGCATAACAAAACCAGTTGGTATTAACTTATATTGACAGAAATAGATTGCTTTCTAAATAATAAAAGATTCTTGCTATTTTCTTACCTAGTGGTCATTTAATTGTAAAACAAAACTAATAATAAATATAAAAAAAACAACCCAACCGCAACAAAAAAACACGTGTAATTTTAGATTACCATTAAAGTGTAAGTCTCTAACCTTCTTTTAGTCAATAAGTGTTTGTGAATATACAGTAGACACTAAGATAAACACAAACAAAGTATAATTACCATGTTCTAACAAAAGCCTCAGCTTTTATAAGAGAAAGAAAAACAGGGCTGTCTGTTAGTTGCCCCTGGCTGTTTGTAGTGTTCAACTTTGATGTTGTTCATTACTAATTCAAGGATCTATTGATTAGTCAAAATAAAAGGGCTTGCGGTCATCTGGTTAATCAGACTTTCATTTGTATATTGTATCAAGCAAAGACTGAGGCTCATTTACTGTGAACACAACCCTCCTTGTAAGCGTCCCCCTTCAACCACACACACACACACACACACACACACACACACACACACACACACACACACACACACACACACACACACACACACACACAACACACATGAGTAAAGGCACACATGCATAAAATGTGCCCTGTTATATCATCCAGGTGGTCCAAGCTCCATAAAACTGTGAAAAATTCATCAAAGAACCTTAGACTTGGACGCTGAGGACCTCAGTACACGTTGGTTTTTGAAAACATCAAACATGCAGACAAATACACAGTTTTTTAATTTATTGAAACATTGAACCATGTAGTGATTAGGGTTCACTTCTCATGAGCCCCCCTCCTTCCAAATGGTAGTTTTAAAACCCCAGGGTTGGCCTTCCTGTTTATTGCCTCCCTGTAATGCAAACATAAGGGTCCCCTGCCAGTAAACACATGTTGATGGAGGAAACAGCTTGCACAGCTGGGAAGCCAACCCAGGTTAGTGTGACTGAGCACTTGGGTAAATGAGTGTGTCTGCGTATGTGCCTTCATGTGTGGAAATAGATTCTTACTTGATGTTCTTATTGATGTCATTTCAGATGTGATCTACACTTATAAATGCTTTAAAAGTGGATTAGCAGACATAAGCCATCAATCACACACACAAAGCCCTGGTGTGAGTGTTAGTCAAAGGGTGCATGTGTGAAACCGTCAATCAGTCAACTGAAGGCGCGCTTTGGGTGAGCAGTAAAAACAGCAGGGATCCTTTACCAGTTGTGCAGGGCTAATAAAATCAACATCCATTGTGTGAAGTCTGTCACTATGCATGATGCTGTGATTGAAATGCATGGTCTCCTATGGCTCACACAGATGGACAGGAAGATGAGGCAAAACAGATGACACATGCCGCAGCATCACTTTGAGCCAATAGTCTTAATTATACTGGTCTCGA